AGCCCTTTTAAATATGCCGAAGTTGGAGTATGGGAATTCACAGGGTAGCCCAGCCTGCTCATCGAGAACTCTCCTTCATTTGAAGCTGAAATAGACAATGTTGATGTAGAAAATAACGACTGAACCCCTTTCGATCTCGTCCTCTGTTCCCCCATTGCGCTAAAAGGACCCCAGGGTGCAGAATGAAGCGCATCACAGCTCTGAAGCAAATGTCATACAGATTCTTGAAGACTGCGTACAAAACAAGGTCGTGGAGGATCCGTGTGTCAAAAACTAACGGGGTCTCATTCTTGAGGGATCTTTGGACCGCACGTTCATTACAAAACGGAAACTAACTTTCTGAAGTTTTTGACATGTGAATCGATGCATGTGAAGCAAAACACATATCCAGACACTGATAACGCTGTGTCATTTCTTCTTCTATTGAGGCATAAGGGACATTTGTTCGTATCAAGCAGTTGGACACTGGATTCCGTTAGAAGCTGAACAAAGGCTACACTTGGAGTTTGACAATTAAGATTCAGAAAGGATCAAAGTACCTTGTGTGGAGCTGGAGGTATTTGGCCATACGCATGTTTCTTTCTCATTTGTGACCCAAAGTCAGTATTATACATGAAATCAATGAACTGAACAAAGAATAGCCCATAGCCGAACAATCGGGAGAAGACTCCAGGAAGAGCCAGGAAGTAACGCCACACGCGATTTAGGACCCTGAAAGTAATTAGCGCGTAGGAGATATAGTTCCGTTGAAACAGTAGGCGGACCTGTCACGAAGCCTACCACAAGGGGGAGGAGGCGAGAGGAAGGGGTGGGGGGTGAGGAGCATCACTTACGTGTCGCATCATCGCGCGCACTTGCAGAGTATTTCTTAGATAGGACCAAAAACAGAGAGAGCTGTTCGAACTGAGAGACGCGGACGCAGTCGGTAGTCGAGAGGTCGACGCGCCGCAGCATTGCCACGTCGAGTGAGTTGGATCCTGGCGCGAATTCTGCGTACGTCACACCGCTTGCGTTTCGCCGCAAATCGTTATAACGCGGGGGAGGGTGAGTGGGAATACAGGAGCGAGCGTTACCAAAAATAGTGGAGCAGACACTACGAACGGTCTATATCTTTATCGAGAGCCCAGCCAATTGGAAGGGGATTGGAGGTGATCGTTGGCACCCAAAATAAGCAGAGGCTCCAGAATGAGCGGGCCAATCAAAAAGGGTGGTTGCTGATTACATGCCTACTCAGGCTAATTGGGTGCTGCAATTGCAAATGGTGGCTAATTAAGTTCACAAATCAACATGGAGGTGCTATTTGACTGTACAGTGAAGAAGTGGTTTGAAGAAGCCGCAGAAAATACCCAAGATAAGGTTCACTCGTCTCAGTATTGAAAGAGTATGCTACAAATGGAGACCCAGAGACGCTCAGCGAAGCGGGAGAGAGAACAAACCACTGCGGGCATCAGAGCACGCGAACAGATAATCGCTGGTGGGAGATAGTTTTGTCTCGTGGGCGGAGTCAGACAGACAAGGGCACGTTCGGAATTATAGTTCGTTGTCGGCGGAGTCAGACAGACAAAGCCACCTTCAGAGTGAAGCGAGAAGCCTTTGGCGTTATTCGAACACATTTTCGGTGGCGCAGTGGTATACACTGTTCGGCTGCGAGCCTCCCAATCGTGGACGTATGAGCGATACGCCTACGGGAATCTTGGGTAACTGTGGAATTTCTGCTGGGCCAAGCCCAGAATGTGTCTGCAGCGCAATGGAAACGAACGGTTGCTTGTAAATGGGACTGGAGCCTGCTAAACCAGACGTACCTCGGAATATGAAGCCTAGGGGCGCTGACATGTATATGGAGGCGCTGGTGAACGTGAATATGATCAGGTACTCAGGAAACGAACTGACCCTGACGACTGAAGATGCATTGGGATCTTCTCAAACAAATCCATATCCTGTTGTGTTAACTTCTCAAGGCGAACACCGGCCAACAGGAGGAAGGGAGAGTGGACTGCTGATCGGTTCAATATATACCTGAACACTGAAAGTTGATGGGTTATAGCTTAGTAAATCTTAATGAACTCAGTTGATTCAGATTCAACCGCCGAATCGGTGAGAGGAGATGGCGCAGAGATCGATCGACTGGATGAGCGGGAACGTTTGAATGCTTTTGGGCGCGAAGGTGCGCGGTATATAAGGGGGACTCTCGCTCTCTGCGCTTGGATCTGCTTTTGCTTCCAGTTCGTCTTTCTTGGTGAAACCTCTGCTCCTTGATTTCTCATTTTTTTGTGTGTAGCTCGCAAAGTAATTTTTTTCGTGCAGTTTCTTCTATTTTTGATTGATAAAAAAGTTTCTTATTCGCCTGACTGTGTTTGGAGACGGTCAAACCGGTATACTACCTAACCAACTTAAAAAATAATTCTAGCTACTTGCAGCGAACTCCTACTCATTTCCAGTGTCTGCAGTATAAGTCTACTTTCAGTATTTGACATTTGCGACTACTAGTCATAGCATTTGAGCGGAATCTCCCTCTTCGCGCCTGCAGCTACGCCCCTTGTTGCCCTCTGATATCGACAGTACATATGCCCGACGTACACAGAACGGCTTCCCATGCGAAGGAGAACTACCATGATAAAAGAGAAGGTCCCTCAAACGTTCATGACCCATTATCTATATAATTACTTCAATGGATACTCTACTATACGCTCTTCCTATATTAAATACTTAGTCCTCACCCTAAATGGAGAATCGTCGTTGCTAGTGTCAGCATCCTTTTCAGCCACGGCCAAACTCGCAGAAAAATCTTTCCCAGCCTTATTCGAAGATCCTGGAAAGCGGTCAATTGTTAATAAGATTATAAAGAGTCACAGAGTTCTAATGACTTCAGTACATTCATTCAGCGGAGTTTGAAAGAAGCACGCATTGATCTAGCCCTTGAGCTATTCCACACCTTCACTGTACCCTATACCCCTTACAACCATGTTCCCTGTGGACGTGGAGCGTGTTCTCAACATGTATAAGCATACGATGAAGAAACAGCGGGTGCCTGTCTAACAGATCATACGATAATGAGGGGTAGAAAACACAAACGAGCAAGCTATTGTACGTGTGATAGCAATGGGCGTCGCTAGTCATAGGAGGCGTGGCTAGCCATGAAAGTAGACCTCTCATGTCCTTTCCATGCACTTTTGAGATATGGAAATGGCACATCTTTGAAGTTGTAGACCTGGCCACTTCACACATTAATTAACTTGATCCAGCTTATGTATGGTGCCTCTGGTTCACAGGTATTCTTGTTCATCGCAGACTGTTGGCATGACTGCACCTGATCCCATCATCCTATCCCCCTACTCCCTCACAGCAACTCAGCGTGAAGCTGCACAACTGCTAAAATGGCCCCAAAAAGTGGTGTATCCAAATTCTCCACAGAAACAACTCTCAAACCAATTTTTACCCTCGTCATTGCTGGAGCATACCGCAGGCGATCCGTCCATTCCATGTGTCATTTATCGAATTTATCTCGAACATATGGCCATAGTACCTCGAAAGTTGGATGATTTCGAAAGGAAAAAATGTTTTATAAGGGGAGCAAAGCAAAATTGCCAAGACCAAACTCACTAGTAACATTAGATTGCGAATACGAGACCTAAAGTCAGTTGGTGATTTTCCCGTTGCAAGATAAATTCGCTTCATTCCGTAGAAATTCTCGGAAAAAGACGCGCCTGAAAAGATCTCTCGGTCTTGGACAGTTACTAGAGCGTCTCCTTGGTCCCAGGATTTCCCTGCACTAATTCATTTTGTCGTTTATTTGCTAGGAATCGGGTAGGTGAATGAGATGAAGCAGGCACACCCCCACATTGAGCGTGGCGTACTACGGATGGGCGGTGCTTGCTACAAAAATACGACTCGTATGGCAATAAGTATGCCCCTCAAGATGGCTGTTGCCATAGATGCGAGCGCCTTTCCGAAAAATTTCGAGACTTCCTAGGG